CGCCTCTTGGCCTCCTCTTCCTCCCTCTCCTTTTCTCTTGGTCCCTGTGACCATCTTCCATCTCTGCATCCTTATCCACATTGCTTGCTTCCTTCCAAGGAATAATGACTCTTTTTATCAACGGTACTGCTCCACACACTTGCTCCCGTGTTTATACAGAAGTACCTCCAAACCCCTGTGGGTCCCTGCTGGAGTTAAGCACACACAGCGAGGGACTGGCATGTGGGTCACAGAGTCCCGGCTGCGTGGGGCGTAAGTGAGGGAGCCCTTTAAAACTGTGAAAATCATTCTTAGCTAGACAACTGCACAGAAACAGGCCACATGTTGCCTGCAGCCCACAGGCTATAGTTTGTTCACATCTCCACTAAAAGGCTTTGCCCGTCTCTGCACTAATTTTTGAGCTACTAGAGGACAGGACTGTATTTTACGCATCCGGATCTGACACAATGCCAAGTGATGAATAAGTGATGTTGCACTAAGTATACCCTGACATGTCCCAGCTGATCCTTCTGTCATTATTTTTTTCCTATACACCTGCCTCTTGATGCTGGATAAATGGCCTCTTCCTAAGCTTCTCTAAGTCTCCTAACAGTCACTGCACAGATACACACTAAGCTTCCAATGATGCTCATGCCTGCCATTTACTAAGTTCCTGGTGTGTAGCAGGCCTTTGCAGAAACCTGCGGAGACAGAGGCGACGCTGGCATCCCCTGTACATGAGCCGGTGTGCCGGTGTGTGCTCACACGTGCGGTGCACGTCCAGCCCACGCGGTCCTCGTGCAGCCTAGAGTCACCCTTGAGTGCCCTCTGAGGTCCCTGCTCTCCAGCCAGGTCCCACGTGCTGATCTTCACCACTTCCCAGGAGGGCTTAATTCACTTAAAAGAATCAGATAATTGCATTTTCAGCATAATTAGGTACCTAATTACATGACTAAATGTCCCCGATCGGGCTGCATGTGTAAATAACGATGATTTAGTTATCCACGCTGTGTTACTGGATTTCCAGAAGGCCCATCAGTGGGCGAACAGGACGCGGGAACGTTTTTCTGCGGGCGCGCAGGGCCGTGGGGCGGCAGGGACTGGGGCGGGCGCAGGAGGCGGCCTGCACGCTCCACGCAGACGGGGGCGGCGCCGCCCGCGGGCAGGGCGGCAGGGCGCCCGCAGGACGTGCCCCAACAGGAGGCCAATCCGAGGCACACAGGTGAAGAGGGTGGGTGGGACGTGTCGGCGTCCCCAGAACCACGCGGCGTCCCGGAGGCGGGCGGAGCAGCACCTCACAGGCCCGGGTGCGGAGAGCCCGGCCCGGCGGAGTTTGCGCACTGGACGCGTTAGCGTTCGGTTAATGGTGCTGTCGTCGGTCTTTTACGCGAGACTGGCGGGAGAAAGGGCACGGGAAGACGGGAGCGCTGACGGGGCGGGGGTGAAGAGAAGCGCAGGTGCGCACGCGCCACCAACCGCTCTTTGCAAAGTCGCCTCAGTGGCGCTGCAAGGGGCACCGGACGGTGGCGTGGGGCCTGGGGAGCATGGGCTTCGGAGCCGGGAGATCTGGGCCGAGTCCCGGTCGCTGTGTCCCAGCTGCGTGTACGGACCGCTCTGAGCCGCAGCCGCGCGTCTGCAGAGGAGGGCCAGGGCGCTGCGTGCGGGTCTGGTCGCGCGCGGAAGCTCCTACTGTGCGCAGACACGTGCGAATGGCTCCTTCTCCCGCTCCTTTCTGTCCTGTCTCTGTCACACACGCCACACCCACACACACAGGGACACGCACACACGCGAGTGCTGGGAGGGCAGGGCAGGCAGGGAGTGCCAGCGACTTCCTGAGTCCTTCCCGCCCTGCCCTTGGCCTCCTTTGGCCTCCAAGTCCTGTCTCCTGGGTATCAGGGCAGGGAAGGAGCTTCTGGAAGTCACCAGCTCCCTTCCTCATTCCGCAGCAGAGCCCGGAAGCCGCCTGCCCCTGGGTCAGCCCCTGCGCCGGCTGTTCTCAGCGCCTGGGGAGAAAAAGCCATTTCTCTACCCGCCCCCGCGGCTTCATCCTCCCACTGTTTTTCTAGCTGATGAAAATACTCTAAAATATGTCTCAATTCATCACCCTGGCAAGCTCCTGCTCCATCTTCCCAGCCCCTGTCCAGGTCTTGTGATTTATATTTGCCCAACATTAATCTTTTAAAAGCAAAGAAGCCATAAACACATACATAACTCTGCCTCTTGTCAGCTGAAATCCCATGACACAAATCAACTGCCACCTAAATTAGATGTTTCTTTCATAGAGAGTGATAAATGCCCTGGAGACTAATCAAGGAAGAGTCAACTAACTTAGACTTTGTTTCACTTCAGAGTCGCGTGTGTAGGTGGTGTGGCTGAAGTCCGGGGACAGGTGAGGACACAGGCACAGTCCTGGTGTTTTGTAAACAGGAAGCTTTGTTCATCATTTCTCTGCAAGGCTCTCAGTACTTCAAAGCAAGGTTGAAACCTAATGCATAATCTTAGGAGAAGAAGGGTAAGTACACAGGGTACTCCTCCGCCAGACCGACTGGCGTGCTCCTTTCTTTGGTAAAGGAAAGAAGCCTTTGCTTAGGCAAACCAGGTAAGAGAGTGAAGACAGAGTCACCCACAGAGACATGGCAGCTACAGGGCTGGCTCTGTTTGAGCAGTCAGGGTTAGGGGCCTTCAGAGAAGCCAGATTGTCTACAACAGTACAGGTTTCAAATATTCATACTCTTTTTAACCACTTCAGGACCTGCCTCGACTATAGTTGACAGCCACAGATGAACACCCACAGCGACTTTAGCCGACGGCCATGATATGACTTTTCTAATTTTTCATTTATCAAAATAAAATTGTGAACATTTAAAAATAACATTGAAAACATATGTATATGTTACCTATTCTGATTTATCTTACAAGTAAAGCTGCCTATAAAGTAAAAACAAGCTTTCAGTGCTTTCAAGCTTTCCTCATCACACAAGAGCAGAACGGATCCGTCGTCCATGCACAGCACAGACCGCCGTGTGGACTGTGAGTGCGGCTGTGGGCAAGGTTTCTCGGCTGGTGAGCGCCGTACCGAAGTGGTTAAGTATTGATTAGTTCATATCAAAACAAATGCAATTTTTTATTTTACACCTTTCAAGTAATGGCTTTTGAATTTTGTTTTGGGAAATATAAAAGCTGAGGTTTGGGGAGGAAAAAAAAGAATATAAACAGCTAAATCCAGTATCTGTCATGAGCTTATTTTCCTTTCTTTTCCTTATTATTTCTTCCACCATTGCTGCCATGTTCACAGTCATTAATAAATTTCATCAGCTACCTGCTTGGGCGAGTCCTGGGCACTGAGGGGTCTTGAAGACCAGGAGACGGGAGCTGGGTCTTCTCGTGTAGGCAATGGGCAGCCAGTGCGGGAGACACACAGGAGATCCGAGGGGCTGGGGAGGGAGCCCACGGCTTGGAAGAGCACTTGGAAGCTACTGAGAGTGTCAGGATGACAGGGAGTAGGGGACAGGGGTTCTGGGTGTGAGGTGGGGGCTGCAGGAGGGCAGACCTGACAGGCTGGGCGGATGGAGGTCTGAGAGTTTGGGGTTTGGGCAGGAGTGCAATTAGAAGGTAAGGAAGGGAACATGAGTGTGAGGGGAGAGGGAGGAGGGTTATGAATAATTTATTATTTTTTATTTCCTTATATCCAGTTATGGAGTCACCACCACAATGACATTATCTAAAGTATTGAAAATTACAAAGTGTCTCAGATTTTCACATTTAAGTAAAATCAGGACTCTAACCACTGGAGTGGCGTCCGTGAGACAGACACGGAGGACGAGCAAGCAGCTCCCCCGAGGGTGCTTGTGAAGACCAGGGACGCTCTGGGGAGGCTCTGGGGTGGCACACACAGCAGTCGGTTCTCAAACTCTGCATGTTAGAATCATCTGGAACCCTTTGAAAAACACTCCCAAACACCCACTGCCATGTCTTCTTCTACTAGGGTTGCTAGATAAAATACAGGACACCAGTTAAATTTGACTTTCAGATAAACCACCAAAAATTTTTCAAAGCTTAGAGAAAGAAAGTGACCTCCCAGAGGTGGAATGTGCTGTGGTCCGACAGGGTGTGTGCTGGGGTGTGAGGGGCGTGAACCCCTCCAGCCAGAGCTCCCAGGAGGCAGGAAGGTGGCCTGGGCTTTGGTGCCAGCAAACCTGGCTTCCAACCTGAGCACACCACATCAGACAAAGTATTTCCATACTTTCCTTTCTTTTCTGGTCTCAGTGTTTTGGCCTAAATGGGAGTAGCAGTGTCTGCCTCACAGGAATTCTGAGCAGGCTCAACCCCCCGCCCCCGTCCTGCTGCACCCACTGGGCACCTGCTCCCACCACCAAGTTCAAGCCCTCCCCACTGGTTCTCCTGGCCAGACCTGTCTCCTCGCTGTTTCCCTCAGGTCCTGCCACCTGCCGCCACCAGAAACCTGCCCTGCTTTGGAGTCTAAGAAAGTAAAGAAGTTTCCTGGGCCTCACTGCTCCTATTTCTGAGAGGTTGGTGCGGGGACGGGTCCCAGAGAGCTGCTGGTGAGCGGTGGCCCAGGCCCACTTTATCAGCACTGCTGCCCAGCGCAGGCCTCCAGGTCCCCTGCAGCGGCCTGATAAGGGGCCCGCTCTGCAAGCCACTGCCCGGGAGGCTTACCGGAGGCACGCCCGGGTGGGGGAGCCCTCCCGTCAGCCCCGTGCTCAGAAGGAACACAGCGTCCTGCACACGCAGACACGGCCTCGCGAGCTGCCCGCCCGAGGCCAAGCTGTGTTCTGGCGCACATGGCAGGCGCGTGTCTCCTCCCACTCAGGGACGGGGTCTCGAGACCCCCCTTAGGACAAGGCACCACATGCACCCCACACAGGAACGAGTTGGGGGCCCTCCCACAGCACAGGCTCGGAGAGCTCAGCAGAGACCTGAGCTTGAATCCGAGAGGCTGACCCTGTGCGGGCGGTGCCACTTGGGTCTCCTGGACAGCCTGCGCACGTGTGCGTGTGTGTGCGTGTGCGTACGTGCGTGGGGGAGGATCGGGCAGTGCGGAAGCACGCAGCCGTCCGTCCTCTTGAACCTGCCGAGAAGAGGAAAGTGATGCTCTCTGCCTGCAGGTTAGCCTGAGAGACACCCAGATGGAGGAAACACCTGGATTCCAGTCCCGGCTCTGCCATTTGCTATTGCTGTGGCTTTAGGACAGTTACTCTGTGCCTTTCCAAATCCCGTTTATTCAGGGACGTTCAGGATACCAGGCTGGATGAGAACCCCAGACCCGTCTTCTAGGGAAGTGCGCGGTAACACTCCGCTCCCCGTGCACACGCGGCCGGCCCGCCCGGCAAGGGAGCTGCGCGAGCACGATGCGTCCCGCCCGCTGCTGTAGCAGGCTGCCGTGGAAACGGCACGAGACGAGAATGGCTTTGGTGTGCACGCGCCCTCCAGGTACAGACATGCCCAGGGACTTCCAGGGCTGCTGGATGAAGATGAGAGCCAGCCGGGCGTCAGGTAGCGACCGCCTGTGCAGCAGCTAGACGCCCGTGCTGGGCCCACGCTAAGTGAGGAGACGACGCGCAGGAGACGCCCGCGCAGCCGCTGGACGCCCGTGCTGGGCCCACGCTAAGTGAGGAGAGGACGCGCAGGAGACGCCTGCGCAGCCGCTGGACGCCCGTGCTGGGCCCACGCTAAGTGAGGAGAGGACGCGCAGGAGCCGCCTGTGCTCATCCTCCAGGGCCTTGCTCACTTGCGGAATGGCATCCAAAACCCGAGCAGCCGAAAAGCACCTCCCGACACCTTTCCTCGAGTGTGCCTGCCCGTGCGGGCTGCGCTGAGGCGCGCTCTGACACGTGGGAGCCTGGGTGCCAGCCTGGGCTGTGTGGCCTGAGCCCTTCTCTCCCTGATTTCAGGCCGGAGAAGGAGACTGCATTTCTGGGATTGTTCTCATTGTGCCAGGGAAGACTGGCTGGGTCTGAGCATGGTGCAGGGCCTTCCTCCCCAGGCAGGTGGCAGCCTGGACCTAGGAGCAGCAGGTGGAGACCTCCCTTGTACACATCCGCTCTCCATTCTCTGTCCGCGGGGCCAGACCTCCACCCTGCGGGGAGAAGGTCGCTGCTCCGTGCCCTCTGCTGGCCGGGCTTGCACTGACCTGGAGCTGCGGGCAAGAGGCCCATGCGCACCCCCCTTCTCCCTGCGGTCTGCGTGCTGTGGACTGCGGACGCTGGGAGCCAGGGGCCCCCACTCACACTCCCCGCAGAGCCGGGCACAGGCCTGGAGACTGCAGGAAACCTTCACCCAGAAGGTGAGCCAGCAGCGCCACACACACTCTGAAAGCGGGCCTCTGTGTGTGCAAACTGGGCCCTCCGTGAAGGCCCTCCTGCCCTACCCCTCAATTCAGGGACTCTGGGAAGTCTCGCCGTCCTCTTCCTCCTTCCCAGCTCCCACCACGTCATGGCTCGGCTCGCCCAGGCCTCACTCTCAGCCGCCTGCTGGAGTGCAAGCTGGACGGCGCGCTCTGAGTCATGAGCCTCCTTGCCTGGAGTGGGGCGAGGGGGACCCGGAGGCTTCAAGCCTCAGGGAGATGGTGAATTCCTGACTCTGCATTGGGTGCCAGGGGGTGGTCCCCTCCTCTCTCTGCCACCGCACCTGACTTCGCTGCCCAGTCACCTCTCCTCACCGTGCTCCCCAGCCACAGCAGCCCCTGGTTGCTCCCTGACCAGACCCGGCCTGCTCCCGCCTCAGGGCCCGTGCACTGGCTGTGCTGCTCTCTGCCTGCTGTTTCTCAGATAGCCCCATGCTCGGCTTTCTTGCCTTTTTCAGATCTTTCTCAAACATCATCTCCCCAGGGAAGCCTTCTCTGGCCACACTCTTTACAGTGGCGCCCCGCCCTGCCCGCCACCCCCTCCGCATTGCACCTCCTGGCTTGCCCGTCCTGCAGCCCGCTGCACATCTGACCTCCTGAGCTTCCTGCTCATGTGCCTTGAGTGTGTCTGCCCACCCCACCAGAGGGTAAGCTTCCCTTTGGGGTTACGCTGGCGTGTTCCCTGTCCCATCCCCAAGGCCCCAGCCTGGCCCTGACGCATCACTGGGCTCCTGGCTGTGGGGCCAACACAGCAGCTGGTGTCGTGCCAGTCGGCGGCTCCGACTCAGCCCAGCGTAGCCCTCTGTGGCCGTGGCCCTGGTTGGTGGGACCCTGCCACGGATGGACCCTGCACCGAATGGGGAGCTCTGGGGGTGTCGGGGTCCCGGAAGGGGCCTGTCCAGGTGGCAGAGCTGGCTAACCAAGGGCTCAGTCCAGGCGGGTCGGGGCGCTCTGGGCAGTCCTGTCTCAGAAGGAGACGCCACAGATGGGGCAGGTGAGAACTCGCTTGCCGCAGGGCGGGCCTGCACGCAGGCAGCTCAAAGGAGAACCGCCCTTGAGAGCTGTCAGGGGTTCCGGTGGGAGGCAGGGCAGCGGGAGGCCAACCTTTCATCAGCTCAGACAAGCGGCCTCTGTTCCCACAGCCCCCGGACAAGGAGGGTCAGATGTGGCCAGGAACTCGGACAATTGTGCCTCTGAGATGTCAAACCTCAGAGACGGCTTTTACCCAAAAGCACCACCCTGGAAACAGAGGGAGAAAGGACAGTGAAAGAGTGAGACAGAGACCCAAGGCCTCCAGGAAATGAGACACAGAATGAGGCTCGGACCTGCCCCGAGTGGAACTAGGGCTCGCAGGCAGGCCGCAGACCTTGGAAGGACACCACTGATTCATCCGTGGGGACTGCAACGTCCTGAAGGCTGTATTCTGACTTCCGCACCATTGTTTGTTTTCTCAGTGAGTAACCAACACCATTTCGTTCAAATGGATTGTTTATCGTGTTCCAGATTGTTTAGCGTGTTCCAGAAGGGTTTTCCAGAGGCTCCAGAACGCTGAAGCAGGCAATGACTCGGGGTAATTACCAAAGCCTGATATAAATGAATGTACTCAGGCAGCTGAACCAGCAGTCGTTCACTCCTCCTGTGAAAGAGAACTTTGTTCTCCCTTGAAAGTCCCCGTTCCCTGCATAGGCGAGGGTGGTGTTGTGCAGAGTTAAAGGATGGCCCAGGGGTTGGGCCCGGGTTCAAATCACAGTCCTGATGCTCTCAGCCATGCCTGCTCCCTGAAGAAGGGGACCACCCAGAGCACCTCCTCAGGGCATAGGGTGACGGCCAAGTTGAACACCGCTAGACAATAGCACCAAACCCTATGAATACTATGCTTCTTCCTACACGTACACACCTATGATAAGTTTAATTCATAAATCAGGCACAGTAAGAGATTAACAATAATAACTAATAAATCAGTTACAGCAATGTCCTGTAGAAAAGCCGTGTGGATGTGGTTGCTCTCCTTCCCACACACATTGCCTTCCGGCACCAGACGGTGGGTGACCAAAACCTCAGAAGGGGGACCACCGTGTCTCAGAGTCACCTCTTGCTCCGAGAGAGAATCTTCCTATGTTCTGCCTCTCAGTCTCATGCCTACAGTTCTACAATGAACAAAAATTGCTTCTGTAATAATGAAATGGGGTAAAAGATATTTATTTTTAAACTTTAAATTTATTTTAAGTGAAAAAGCCAAAAAAGTAAGAGAGAAGAGTGCGGGAGCGTGCCCTGCGTCCCAGTGGCCGGGGGACCCCGTGGGGGCAGAGGCAGGGGCTGTGCAGACACAGGGCGCTGGCAGGACTCCAGGGAACCAACTGCCCTCAAGAGGAGGGTCGGAGCCCCAAGCAGAGGGCAGAGTTGGGCTGGGAGAGCGCAGGGACAGAGGCCCAGGCCACTCATCCCCATGGGAGTCCAGCGCACAGGGACCTCCATGGGCCCACGTGCTCTGCCCGTATGGGTCCCTTCTCCTCCCGATGTTAGAAATCATATTTTATTGTTATATTGGTATAGATGCAAATGCACTCTTTGACCTTGGATTCATTTCCTTCCACCTGATTTTAAAAGAAGCTAAACATTTAGCAAGCACTGTGGCTGGGGGCCTTGGCTGAGCCCCTCCTGCAAAGCCCGTGTGTGGAGGGGGAAGAGAGGGTGCCTGTGGGCCTCGGGCTCTGCAAGTCGCACCTGCTGCGGTCTCTGTGCTGCAGTTCACATGTGACACGGAGATAAAAGTATCTCCTGCCCACGGGTGGAGTGGGATGGTGTGTCCAGCTCTCCACACCCAGTCAGGGGCAGTCGCGCTGGGAGCAGGATGGGTCAGGATCACTTACAGAGTTTGTGAAAAAGGAAGAAAAGAGGAGATTATGGAATTAAGGAAAAAAGGGGACACTAAGGGTTTTCAGCCAGAGCTGAAATGAGAAGCTCTGCAGAAGCTGAAGAGGGTGATTCAAAGGACAACCCCCTCCCAGGGCATGATCAAAGAGGGCCTGGCCCCTCACAGGAGGGCGCAGAGGAGGAGCCCCCAGGGGAGGAGGCAGGGACAGGAAAGCCTTCAGAGCAGAGAGAGTCCCAGCTGCGCCCGCTCAAGGGGAGCCTGGGGGGGGGGCAGGAGGGCAGAGCAGGGCCTAGCACTGGGGCAGGTGCAGGGGAGGGAGCACTGGCGGGAGGGAGGCCGAGCAGAGCAGTTTGGGGAGTGTGGGGCCCACAGCACTCTCCGCAGACTGTCTCGTCCACGCTGGCTGGACTCCCCATCCGTCCATCCATCCATCCTTTATGCATTCAATCACTCCTTCATCGCAGGGTGTTTGGGAAGAGCCTATCTTGCCCCTGGAGGGCGAGTCGGCTGAGTGTTGGGTGGTCCTGCGAAGCAGGTTAGGATGTGAGGAGACGCACTCAGGAGCGGTGTGGGTGTGTGAGGCCAGGAGCCGGCGGGGTTTCCGGGCTGCTCTCCGCCACAGCAGCTCTCTGATGAAAACGTGAAGGCGCAGGGCTGGGAGGCAGCTAGCCGGGCTCCGGAGCCGCGCACACGGGGACTGAAGAGGCGGAGGGCCTAGCCCTGGGCTCTGCAGGCCTCAGGCAAATGCAGAAGGTCCCCTCTCTCAGGGCATGATTTCCAGTGGCGAATGGGCCAAGAGAGACAAGGCTGGGCAAAGGGAAGGGAGCTGAGCGGGGGGAGGGACCGCCACTTCAACACACTCACACAGTGAGAGGCACATGCACCGGGCATGACGCTACAATTTCATCAGTGACGACACATTCAATCCCCAGAACAAATCCCTGAGATAGAGATGATTATTACCCCCATTTGCAGGATCAGGACTAGCTATAGAATTTGCAGAGGCCAGTGCTAAATAAAACCCTGGGGCCGCTTGTTCAAAATGAGGAATTTCAAGACAGTGACAGCAGAGCATTAAACCGATGTGCGGGGCCCTGCTGTGCCCAGGGTCCTGTGTGACCGCGTGGGTGTCTCCCCTGGGAAGGCAGCCCTGATCTGGATGATGGACTGCGACACAGAGAGGCCCCACCACTCGCGCCAGGTCACAGCCAGCTTGCAGCATGTCCAAATTCAAAGCCTCACCCTGGGACTTTGAAGCTAACCTCCTCATCACCAGCAAATTGGCACAAAGTCTATTAGAACTAAATGGTATTTTTAAAAAATAGACAAGGGGAATCTTTAAGCCTTCGGCCTTGCCAAAGGCTGGGTCAGCTTTAGCAAGACAGTTAGGCGGGCACCTCAAGTGAAGGTGGATCTGACAGCCAGTGGGCTCTGCCGCCAGGTGAGCACAGGAGCAGTCACCTCGGGGGTCCAACCCGGGGGCCGGCAGGCATCACTGTTCTGTCTGGCTTTGATCTGACAAACCATGGTTTCCTTCCCTTTTAGACTCTGCTGAGAATACATGTGCCCATCCGCTGCCCACGAAGCGTGAAGATTCTCCGCACCGGAGTCCAAGGAGGAAGAAGGGCAGCGCTGGGCCAGGTCAGCTGGAAGCCCGTGCTGGGGCGCATCAGAACGCCACACCGCCCGGGAGAAGGGTGCGGGCTCTGGCGGAGGCTGCCTGCGCGCACATGCGGAGTGGAGATAGCGGCTCCAGCAGGGTGTGCCAGCCAGGGGCGCCCGAGATAGGTGCTGAGGCAGCCTTGCCGGCGTCCCCCAACACAGGGCCCGGCCGGGGCTTCCTTCCCTTAGAGCCCTGGACAGAGGCAGCGGCGTGCCTGCGGGCCCCAAGGTGCACAGCCCGTGTTTGCCACTAAGAGAGGGGCTGTCTGGCTTCAAGCAGAAGGAGTTTGCTCAACAAGCAGGAACAAGAGGCTGTACTGAAGCTCTGAGGGGTTATGGAGGATGCCAGGGAAGAAGTCAGGGCGGGAGAAGGGGCAGGGACCGTGGCTGGGCCCCCGCAAGGCAGCCCTCCCTTCCCCGCCCAGTGCTTGCCTGGGAGCGGCCAGCACTGCCCAGGCTCTCCATGGCTGGAGGGGTCGTGCCGGGCCCCATGCAGCCCTCACCGTGGACCCGGGGGGTGGGGGGGACCCAGTGGTGCGGGGCTGGCCCCAGCTGCTGGCAGGAGGGGAGTGGGCTCCTGTCAGTTCCTGCTGTTGCCAAGCCTTTGTAGAGGACACTGTTCTGGAAGAATGTGGAAAAACTAAAATGTGTAATAACTAAGGGCAGGAGTCAGCACTCCCTCAGAAGTTCAGATTATATAATGACCTGAAGAAAACCCCAGGCCAAGATGAGAGGGAAGTGGGCACAGGGACACAGTGGCACGGTTTGAAAAATGAGCCCATGCTGGAGTGGGGATGCAGGGAGGGCTAGGTGGGATTTCTGGAGCCCACGGACTATGTTCTTAGAACTTGCTTTGGTTGACTTCTGTCCATTTCAATTTGTTATTTACTGGCCTCCAAGTATATGCCAAGCTCTGGGCTAGGGGCTCCTGAGGGTATGATTTTTAAAGGGCACTTTTCGCTTTTGGAATGCAGGCAGCCCTGGTGTGGGCCCTCGGGCCACCTAGCAATCATCTATCCATTTCATAGCCGCTTCCCGAGCACCCCTCTGCACCAGGCCCTGAGTGGAAGGTCAGAATTCTGACAAGGGGACAGACACAGGGATCAATCGGAGCTGCAGAGTATTCCCAGGGCCATGGGAGGTGGTTTTCTAGGAGTGGGAAAATGTTCTGTGTTGTGGGAATGCATAAACGGGGCCTTTGCAGAGCAGCAGGTGTGACTGTGTGTGCGTCACTGGGGGTTGGTACCCAGAGAGCTGGGGGCACGCTAGGGCGGTGGCAGGCATCGGCACCGGTGGTGCATGAGGGCAGGCTCCCGGGCCAGGGCTGAGCATAGAAAGGGGGTGGTAATGGCCAGTGGGGGATCAGGGTTGAACCTCTGTGCAGTCCCTCCCTGTGGTGCGATGCAGTGACTTCCCAGCCACAGCCCCTGCGGCGGGCAGAGTGCCCCGCCAGGCACACACCGGCAGCAGACCCACACAGCCTTCTGCCACGGGCTGGCCCCAGAGGCCTGTGGGGTCTGGTGCCTGTGTGCACAGCCTGGCTCACCCTCAGTACCTGGGAGCGCTGTGGCAGGCCATCTCCCCCGAGCCTCCAGTCCTCCAGCTGCAGAACAGGCGAGAAAATGCCCATCTCCCCCGTGGAGGGAGAGGCAGGCAAGGCTTTGGCAGGGCTTAGTGGAGCAAAAGCACTGCTGCTGTTGCTGTGACAGCGAAAGCGAAAGGTAGCCGCTGTCTGAAGGGAGACTCCTGAAATCACAAGCATCTGAAGGCCAGGTCTGCTCTGTCAGTTCTGTTACCAAAGCCACCTCTGCTCTTGCTGGCACAGTGCCAGGCTCTCATGTACCGTTAGTCACGTGACTCGTGGGAAGTAGCGGTTACTCCCACTCACAGCCGGGAGCCGAGCAGCCGAGGTGCTTGCGTCTTTCCCGCTGCCAGCAAGCGCGAGGGAGATCAAACCAGGCTGACTCCTCAGCGGGTGGGGCTCTGGTCTCTGCCTCTCACTTGCCCTGTGACCAGAGCACATCATTTAACGTCTGGGACACGTGTGCTCGTGGGAGGGCCGTGCTGATAGGAAACAGATGAAGGCACAAACAGGCACTTCCCCCAAAAGTAATGTGGAGATAAGAACACAAGCTCGGCCTCACGTGTTACAGAGGCACATTCCAAAGTGACAACATTTTTACCATCAGTTTGGCCAACCTAAAAACTGCACAGTGTGAGTGAGGATGTGGGGAAATAGTGACTTTCATAAGCTGCTTGTGAGCATTAGAAACTAGTGTGACCTTTAGGAGGGAAGTTTCTCAGTATCTACTAACATTTTAAATGAATACGCACTTTGTCCCAGAAATCAAACTTTGAGGTGGGGGAATTTGCCCTAAAGGTTTACAAACACATGCATGCAAAACCCTACTTACAGGGATTGTCATGGCAGCACTGCGTGAGGGTAGAAAGAATTAAATAAAGTCTGTATACAACCTAAATGTCCATCAGCAGAGGAACTGTTTAAATAAAAGAACGAGTTCATTGATATATTCATATAATTCACACTCTGCTGCCCTGAGAAGAATGAGCTAGTCTCTCTACGGTGCTAAGGTATAATCTTCAAGATATGTTCCTATGCAAAAAAAGAAAGATGAAGTAGAGTTTCATTATGTAAACTAAGAAGTAAGTATACGTGCATATAGTACTTCTAGAAGGACTCTAACCTATCAGTAAAGCAATTATCTTTGAAGTAGGAGGAAGGTATCTTTCTCTTTCCTATTGTTCACACTTCATCAAACATTTCTGCCCGTTTGTTTGGCTGGTTTTGTGTTTAGCTTGTGCTTGTTGACCCATTGTGTGTTCTCGATCGCTGGAAGGTGTCTAGGTTGGTCCTCAGAACGGTATATACACACACTACCCGAAAAGGCAAACTGACTCGGCTTGCTCAACCTCTCTCAGCACTGCTGAGGGGCCTCTTCCTAGTCATTGCGTATGGGGTTGCATGCCCCCCTGCAAACACAGATTGCCTCTTACCCCACACTCCTCTGCCTCCCAGCATGTTCTGCAAGTCCCCAGAAATACTTGCCTAACCATGGGTATCCTTGGAAAGGTCCCCCTGCTGATGGTGCCAGTGCCATGTGACTCCCCACACCACTGATATTTGGAGGGATTGAGCAATGGCTGAGATGGAATTTCATTTGGCACTTACTGCAATCCTCTGCCAGAGGCAGTGAATTCTATATAAAGCTGCCAGACCTGGCAGTCTCCTCGATGGGGCTCCACCACTTCCATCCAAGGGCAAGGCAATGGATCGCCTGCGTGGGCCTTGCTCATAGGAACTGCAGTAACTGGGGCGTTCAGGGGCAGGCCTGGCCGCGGAAGTGGGTCCTCTCCTCTCTAACCTCAGGGTCTGAGGAGCAGCTGTGTAAACTGAGACAGGATATAGACACATCCTGCCTGACTTAGCAGCAAGAAATAGGGCCGGGCAGCTCTCCCACAGCAGGGACCTGTCATAAATCAAATCGAAGGGTAATCCGGCATGGCTTGCAAGTGAGGGCTGCATCCCCAGGAGTCCTGAGGGGAGGGTTGGCAGTCATTGGTCAAGGTCTGAAACCGGAATCCTGGAGAATGGCCTGGGGCAGGGAGGAGGGCCCCAGCGGGAAGGCTAGCCTGTCCTTTTCAGACCCGGCTGCAGCCTGTTTCCTCAGGGCCTGAACTGGGAGGGTCACAGTGGCTCTGTCCCCTTAACCCAGGCCCCGTGCCACACACATGTACACACACACTCACACACACACAGGAGCTCAAGTAAGACACATACACACTGAACACACTAAAGCACAAGAACTCAGGGACCCACGGTGCCATGTAAAATCAATATAAAGGTGCCGGAACGACATTTACTGAGCACTTGGCGTCAGTTTCCGCGCTGAGCAATTTGTGCACACTTAATTCTCAAAACCCGATGAGGAATACCCCTAACGGTTCGCACTTTGCAGATGCAGACACTGGAGCTAGGAGAGTGCGACTTGCTAGCAAGCGCGCAGACGGTCCCTGCGGCAGCGGGGCCCTTCCTCGCTCCTGTGGCCGCCTCCCCACCGGTTCCGGGCACCCCCAGGCTGACCCAGGCCTGCTGGGACCCAGGCCTGCTGGGACCCAGGCCTGTTGGGGCACACGCCTCTCCCGTCAAGGGTTAGGCCGAAGCCACGCTCGGCCCGGCGAGTGGGTGGGCCTCACAAACACCTGGATTGGTTTCAAAGACTTATAAAAGAGTTGGTGTCTCCAATGCCCATCCCTTTCTCTTATTAATAATTCAATGTGATTACATTGTAGGCTCAGAGTATCTCCTCTCGAACAGACCCTAATGATCGGGCCCAGCCAGGGTGGGGGTAAAAGGGATACACATTCACTTTTTGTTGTTAATTAAAATTTTAGTTTTTGTGGCAAAAGCCTGATGGCAGAGGAGGAAGGCTGGGAGAGGCCCAGCCATGTCTCAAGCAGCTGCAAACAATCACATCGCATGTGATTTCCTGTCAGCAAGAAAACGTGGTGGTTTTAAAAAGAGAGCAAACAAGCAGCGAGGAACTCTCCCAGGGAGCCTCAGGCCGCCGGGGGAGCGCAGGCCCGGGCGCTCCAGCGCCCCCCAGCCCTGCCCGGCGTGGCGCGGCGCCGCACAGAAGCGGCTTGCCCTGTGACGGGGACTCTCGTGTCCAGCGCGCCTTCTCTCTCCCAGGGGCGCCTCGGTTCTCCCCTTAGAGTGACAGGCAGGTTCTGGCCCCAACACCGCACAAGCCCCCCACAAAGAAACAGAAAGCGGCGAGGGGACGCCCGGCGCCCGCGGAGTCCGGCGCGGCGCGGGACGGGGACCCGCAGCCCCGGCGACGCCAGGGCCGGGCCGTGCGTGCTCGGGCGCGCCGCTGTGGGCTCCGGGCTCCCTCCCAGGCGGGACTCACCGTCGCGGGGCAGCGGCGACGTGCGGTTGAGGCTGCTCATCGCCACGGTCGTGCGCCAGCGCGGGCAGGGCCAGGGGCGGGCGGGTGCCGCGAGGGTCGCGCTCGCCGGCGCGGGCCTGGGCGCCAGGAGGAAGCGGCACCTGGGTCGGTCACACTGGGCGCGGGCCGGGGGAGGGGCCGGCCGGAGATAGGCAGACTTCATTTATTTTTTTCTGTGGACTTGGCTGGTGGGGTTTCCAACCTCTTTTTTTTTTTTAAACACACATGCACCCGCCCACTTCTGAACTCTTCTGCGCTCCAACTTCCAACTTTCCTGCGCAAGAATCACATTTTTCCTGTTTCTGTTTTCCTCTGCACTACCAGATACAGAGGTTGCGGTTGCGAATTCCCCCGGGTTCCCTGAAAAGCTCTGGATGTGACAAGATGGCTTGGCCCCGCGCCGGCGGCGACGGTGACCAAATAGGGCAGACCTGTGCTCCAGTCTTGGCCGCCGCTCTCGGGCTGGGCGGCCGCGGCCTGGGAAGAGCCCGCCTCGCGCCTCTGCGGACCCTGCTCCCCCGAGCGCTTCCATCTGGGAGGAGTATTAGAAAAAGAGAAGAATTTCTGGACAAGGGCCACGTGATTTGTTGCAATCACCTTTGGCTGAAGCTTACAGACATAGTGGAATTTGTGGAGAATTCACTCCATTTATACAGTTAAAACTTTAAAAATATATATACTTTGATTAATTAAATGGAATCAACTCCACCATCCACAAATTATGTTATATAATATAGTATATCTCCCCCACTCCCAGAGGGAAGGTGGAGAACTTCAGGGGCGTTGGTGTTGCCCTTGTTTTAAACTGCGTCCCCGCCCCACAAGAGAACCTGCACTTCTGCACTTCTTGAGTCCGCTGTGGGATCTTTCCCCTGCTGCTCCTCATTGTTGTTTATTTAAAGCCCCAAAGCACCGTTGTGGCCCCTCCCCCACCTCCTGCCACTTCTTGCAAGGTGCCTGCTGTCTGCAGGATGCAGGGGCCATGCCGCTGAGAGCAGCATCGCTCTGGACATAATGCGACTCTGCCCCCTGGAGGTGTGCAAGGCAGAGCCTTGCCAACCTCTCTCTGGGCTGCAAAAACTCCAGGCAGCCTTGACACGGTGGGGAAGCATTCATAATTCACGTTAGATGGTGAAGAACCCCCACTCTTTAGAGATCTTTAATCAAATTTCCATGCTAACACACACATTTTTTTTATTTGTGCAAGAGATTTATTTTTTTATTTTTATTTATTTTTAATTTTTTAATTTTAGCATATTATGGGGGTTCAAGTGTTAAGGTTACTTATATTGCCCATGTCCCCCTTGAGTAAAAGCTTCAAGCATGCCCATCCCCCAAACGTTGCACATCTTACTCATTGAACACACTCATGTTGGCTTGAAGTGAACTATTCACAGAATGCTTTTAGCCAGGTGTGGAAGCCTTTGAGTCTTGTTTTCCTCATCTATAAAATGGAGACAAGAACACCTGTATTCCAAGGTTTTACAGTCACAGTGACTATAAAATCACAGTGGGATCAGGAAAGGCATTTAATAAATAGAAACTAGCAAGGATTACTGTGACAATTTAACATTTTGTTTTACAATACATATATGTCCATGTGGGACAATAATACCCCTCCCTCCATATTCAGAGAAAATAACTTTAGTTCCCTGAAATGCATAATAATGGAGAGTTGGAAGTAGACAGCCCCACCAGACAAACACGGAAGAAATCATCAAGTCATTACACTGCTCTTATAAAAGGCTCACTTTGACCTTAGACATAATCATAAGAGGTTTGCTTATCTAACTTCTCAGGGCAGAAGAGGTTAAAAGCACCAAAATGTTACAAGAATTTCTTAAAGAAAGGAAGCCCCAAAATGAACTAATCGGCTAAGTAACTAAACAACAAAAGTGACAGCCCTACTGACTATAAAGGCATAAGAACAAAGTAACATTTATTATAGAACTGAAGCATCTCAGCGGCTGATGTAACCACAGGATGTGACTGTTCTAGGTGCCATGGGGGGTAGTTACTCTAATGTCTACTAGCTGGGTAACCTTCAGCATTTTACTTCTCTGAACCTCAATTTTCTCATCCATGAAAATGGAACAATCTGCAACATTAGGTTGTTGTGAGTAACACATTAGATAATTAATAATTAGTGAGATAATTACAGTGTCTTACTCAGCACATAGGAGTTACTTAAAGATATTGGTCTCCTTCCCTCGGACATACACACTTTGTATAGTAAATAATGTTTTATAGTGAGTCACAGTTTAGCTACCAAGGAAACATTGGGTATATTTGAGAAAGTTCAACCATACAAGTGTCTAATTTTAAAGAAATGACTACTATTTTAAGAACATAAAATAATTATATGAAAAATTAGATTATATGGCAGAATCAGACATTAAGTCACAAAAGTGCATTATTAATCTGTCTTTGTGTGTTGGATATTTATTCATGACGTAGGAAAAATGCAGCTATATTTTGTAACAATAGAACAATTCTCATTTAATTCCAAAGGCCCATTTTAAATATGAGATCACTGAGGTTCAGAGCAGTGACAAGCACTTGTCCAGGGCTGTGCAGCCAGGGTGGAGACTCAGCCCTGGGCATCTCTTCATCAAATGTGTGGCCTCCAGGGGGTGACGGTGTGGTTGAGTCCTAGAGGGGAATGTTCTCTTCCTCTGGCACTATGCAGGGAGGAACTGCCCTCCCAATGCCACTGCAAACTAGTACACACTCAGTGCTGGCCCCCTCACTGGGAGGGGCTTAGAGGCCCCCCACTGTTGTTTCCATCTCCCGGTGTGAGCCCTTGCAGATGGAGGTGGGTAGCTGTTACTTGGGCTTTTTACAGTTTATTTTTGGAGACAGAGTCTCACTCTGTTGCCCCAGCTAGAGTGCGGTGGCATCATCACTGCATCACTGCAACCTCAAACTCCTGGGCTCAAGCAATCCTCCCGCCTTGGTCTCCTAGAGTGATGTGAGGCTAGAGTGATGTGAGCTCAGAGATGTGAGCCACCATGCAGGGCCATTTTACAGTTTTTATTGAAATGTTTTGCCCTTCATCACAGTGATAGATGCTCTTTGTCGAAAAACAGTTAAGTGGAGGGAAAAAAGACAAAGAAACTCAAACCTTAATAATCAATAATTGCTCATAATCACTAGCACATTAAGGTTATTTACTTTCAGTCCTTTTATATACTTAGGGATATTTGCTTTACACTATTGAAATTTTACTGAATATGTGATTTTGAGTGCTGAGCTTTTACTACCAAATATTATGTCACAAACATTTTACCGTTTAAAAGTATAAAAGCTCTTTAATTTGTTTTATTTACTCTGTTGTTTCCTAAATAACGCTGGGATAAACCATATGAACATAAATATCTGGATTCCATACTTTATTTCCTTAGCTTATATTCCAACAAGTAGAATTACTCAGCACATTCACCAGCTGTGGCCATAACAGTTTATTTTCTCCCCACTCAAGAGTACCAGAGCTCATCTCAGAGCCTCTTGCCAGAATCAAACATTAAATTTTAAACCACTGTTAGTTCTTCAGATGAGAAACGTAAGTAGTTACTTGTGTTTTCATTTTCTTGATTACTGGTGGGGGTGAACATGCTGTCAATGCTTATTTACAAATCACATGTTCTTTTAGGAGAATATTTTACTCAGGCTGTTTCCTTATTTGGAGGGGTGACAAATGTTTTTCTTATAGATTTATATGAACTCCTTATACACAAAAGACAACATCACCTTTTCATGTGTTTTGCAAATATTTTCCCTTTTGGCTTTTTCCCAGTTCTTTCCCATTAGCACACAAATGTAGTTTGAGTTATTTGATTGGCAAGTTGGCAGCTTTTAAGAAAACTCAAGTGTGGCCATGCATATTTTAAGAGGGATGTAGAGGAGAAACAGGGGTCTGGTTTGTACATGCTGTCACTAGCTGCTCCTCATGAGAAGGAGGTAGGGAGTGGACCTGTGGGGGACAGGGGAGCCTGGACCTGCTCCTGGACCTGCACCAGGCACAGAGGGGTCAGTGTCCCCAGCTCTGTAGCCCTGACCGGGAACTTCCTCACTTGTGGCCCGAACGCTTTCTGAGAAGCATCACTGCTTGGGGAGGTTTGGGGGCTCAGACGAGTGCCTTGAGGTACAGGAAGAGACTTTATATTGCCTGCTGGGACAGAGCTACTTGGTTCCTTTTTCTTCTAGAAGTTGCTAAAGGCTGGCAGAGGGGAGAGTGCTCTAGGGGCCAAGGAACAACTTCCCCTTCACTCTCTGAAGTTTTGCAGAAAAGTCAGCTCATAAAAGGCAGATTAATGTGAGAAAAAAGGCATGTAGAATTATTTTAATGTGTATGCATGGGGAATCATAGGAGAATGAGTCCCCAGTAAGCCAAAGGGATATTGACGGTGACACACCCTTCTTCTTAGGGGGGCAAGGGGGATGGGGAAGTGTGGATGATTTTAGGGGGGTAGTAAATGATTTTTAGGGGAATTCAATGGGCTTGAAAAACCTACACTGACCTGGGACAAAGTCTGTTGGGCTCACAGACAGTAGTTTATGACCAAAGTCTGCCCAGTTGTGTTGACAGACTTGTCTTTCTTCCTGAGATATGAGTTCAGTTAATGGGAACTCAGGGAAGGGACCAGAGGCCATTGTCTTCTCTGGTGGGTCAGGAATTTAGGCAGATAAGGGACTTCTGAGAACAACTTCACCCTGTGCTTTGGGACAGACAGAGGATTTGAGAGACAGGAGGTTGGGGAGAAGGTCAGAGAGACCTTGAGGCAACTTCCTCAGTCCAGCCTGTGAAAGCACCATATTTTGGGGTGTCAGTTTCTGATCCCTAGTGGCACCCAGCCATGGGTGAGGCTATGGTCTGCTCCCCTCATTTACAGCTGCACCTCATTCATTTAAGCATCCAGAATGGCCCACTTCTGGAAGCTTCCTAATGGGCATCTATGAGAAATAGGAGCAGCACAGAAACCCAGTGGGAACACTGCATGGTCTGGCTGGGTTGAAGTGAGCAGCAGGCACAATCTCATCTGTTGGTGTCTGCTCTAGGAACCAACCTGTGTGATCTGGGTTCAGCAAAGCCAGGAAGACTC